CAATCCCCCTCTTAGGCATATACCCAAAGGATTCACATCCATGCAACAAGGACATTTGTTCAACTATGTTCATAGCAGCACTATTTGTAATAGCAAGAACCTGGAAGAAACCTAGACGCCCCTCAATTGAAGAATGGTTAATGAAGATGTGGCACATCTACACAATGGAATACTACTCTGCAGAAAAAAATAACGGTACCTTGAAATTCTCAGGCAAGTGGATGGCACTTGAAGAAACCATCCTGAATGAGGTAACCCAGTCACAAAAAGAGGAACACAGTATGTATTCACTCATATATGGATTTTAGACCTAGATCAAAGGATCACCAGCCTATAATTCACACCACCAGAGGAACTAGGATACAAGGTGTATTCTATGAGATTCATATAAAGTCCCTCACAGAACTGGGAAGGGACAAGTCCCCCAGAGCTCAGGGGAAGTGGGGGGGGTTAATGGAGAGAGAAGTAGGAGAAAACGAGGGGGAGGAAAGGAAAATATGTGTGACCAGGAAGATTGAGCCTGGTTAGGAATAGAAGTCAGGAAAGAGAGACAGAGAGAGAAAACATAAAAGAGGGAGCCAATATTGTTTTGAAGATAAAACTGAACACAAAGAATGGTCTAGAGAACTACAAAACTGCTCCCAACTAACAATTTGAGCTATTGGTAGCCTAGGGAGAGGCTATCATAAATGCCCTTCCCGGAGAGTGAGATCAACAACTAACTTATCCATGGAGCCCTCAACTAATGCCTGTTGGAAACAGGATCAAACACCCATACATAATCACTGAGTCGAACTAGAACCCAGATGCAGATGGAGAGGACAAGACCATGCGGCAGAAACACATAGAGACAGCTTACCTGAACAAGAAGGAGCTAATGGCCACTAGACTGATAGCTGGGAAGCCAGCATGGGACTGACTCAGGCCCCCCTGAATATGGGTCTCAGCCAGAAGGACTGAGAATTCTAAGGGATCTCAGACAGTGGAGCCAGGTTGTATCCCTGGAGCACAAAAGGACTTTGGGAACACATCCCCCATGGAGGGATAACTGCCTTAATCTAGAGGCAGGAGAGAAGCCTTAGTCCCTACTTCACATGACCTGTCAGATCTACATGACCCCAACTGGATGGCATTCCCCTACATATGGAATTGGGGTGGAGGGATGGGAGGGGAGTGTGGTTAGAGTGCATGTGAGATGGTAGAGAGGGTAAAAGGGAGGGAAGGAGGGAGGGAGGGATAGAAGGAGGGGGGGGGGGGGGGGGACGGGGGGGGGGGAAGAAAAATAATAAATTAAATTAAAAAAATTGTTTTTATTTTTTAATTTGTGGGGGGGGGGGTGGGGGGGGGGGGGGGGTGTTTTTTTTTTTTTTTTTAGAAGATGTTGAGGTGTGGTTTTTTTTTGTGGTGTGGTGTTGTGTGGGTGGGGGTGGGTGGGGGGGGGTGGGTGGGGGTGGTGTTTTTATTGAGGGTGGGGGGGGGGGGGGGGTGTGGGGCGGGGGGGGGGGTTTTTTTTTTTTTTTCTTTGCCCTGTGGGGGGCCCCCTTGTGGGGGGGGGGGTGGGTGGGGGAGGGGGGGGGGTGGTAATAAATTGTTTATATTGAATTTTGTTTTTTATTTGAATTGGTTGGTTTAAATAAAATAAAAAAAAAAAAAAAGGGATGGACTAATTTAAGTTGTAAGAGCTAGTTGGAAAAAAGCCTTAGCTTAAATAATTTATAAATCTCTGTGTCATTATTCATGGGCAGCCAATACAAATAGAGTCCAGCAAGAAAGCTTGCTACAAATGAAGAACAATCCAATTGTGTTATGCCAATTGGAAAACTCTTTTACTATCATTCTATATTCCCTAAAAAATGTTTGGCGTAGAAAATGTTTGTAATATGGAAGCTATAACAATTACAATATTTCTCAATAATGCTAAGAGGACAATTCAGTATTTTACTGTAATTACTTGTGAATTATTAAGCAGTAATTTTGATTTATCTATCTGTGGCTTATCCATGCCAATATTTAAATCCAAGATGGCTTTTCCATGAAATCAAACATATTTCTAGGCTAATTTGGTTTTGTGTTGGTTTTCTTGGTGTGTTTTTTAGGGAGGGTAAGCATAAGTTTTCAAGTATAATCAATGTACTTTCTGAAACCAAAGACCAACTTAGCATTACTATAAAATGTATCAAAACAAAGACAGATAAACCGATATAACCATCATAAAAAATCCCAACCCATAATATTAATGCAGTGACTGCATTTTCTAAATTTAAAGCCAACACTTACTTATGGAATTACATATAAAACCAAATGCCTCTTGTTCCTGGATTCATAATGATTAAGTGTGAAATTGTATGTCAGTTTGCTCCTGGCTGAATAGAATGGATTCCTTAAAATATAGCTGGGTCAGAGAGTCCCAAAGGAAGGGGAATGGGCAGAGAAGAGAGGGCTGCCCATCTGAGGTAAGCTGACAGAAGACTAAAAGGACCATAATGAAGGATGAGAGAAGTAAGAACATGGTGGATTATTGGCATCCTCACCATGTCTGGTGGCTACACATAAGTCTCAAGGAACCTAGGGGAAGAGGGGGCAGAAAGCCTTTAAGAGCCAGAGGACCAGGACATTAGATAAGAGAATATGTCTTCAATATAAGACAGGAAATCTGCACCATGAAATACTAACAGTATGGTAGCCCAATCAAGACCTGAATAATAACATACCCAGCTAAATGCCAGTGTACATGGGGGAAATATCCCATAGCCCTGCCCCTACAGGAAGTAATGGACTGCCAAGAGAAGCAGAATCTGTTTTCCCCAGGAATGAGTACCCTAATTTATAATCTACTACCAAGTGGTCAGCACTAAAAACATATAATATGAGCAACACTAAACAGATTCAGCTAATTTCAATTATTTATGTATGTATATGTATAACACTAATAATTTAAGAAAAGAAAAAAATTTAACTAGGCTCTGCTGTCATATGTGGATGTCTCTACCTCTCTCTCCAACTTCTACCTGATTATTATATTTTACAGGATATACAGATAAACAACAGACCTAATGCCCACTGATACATGCTTTGTCTTTCTAATATACTCTTGTCAATATAACAGAAAGGCGAGGAAAGACCAATTCAAGAATCTGAACTGATGGTTTTGTTTTGTTTCAACCTTCAAATAGTAAAAAACAAGAAGATTTCAGTGAAGAAGACAAAACAGCCTATCAATATACCATACACTTTAGCTTTCTCCTTTTAATATTTTTAAAGACCACTTCAGGAGATGCTGTTTCCCTAGACATCACTGTGGGATGTCCAGGTTATCCTCCATTGGTAGACTCTCAGTCTGGTTCTTTATGGTGATGGGCTTTTTAGCACAAGGATCTTTAAAGACAGGTGTGTGAGATCTTTAGTGCAGGACACTGGTAATGATCCTCGGCTCTTTGTCTTTTGTCCTAGGGATTCTAAAATAATTTCCCTCATTGAAATAGGACTGCTTCATTGCTTCTTCTACAGACAACTCACTGTGTTTAGTATAATTTGTTCTTTAAGAAATGAAATTTTATATTGTGTCATTTTAAGTTGTAAAGTCCATTTTCATCTCTGTAACTTTTCCTATACTGCCTGGTTCTGCTATACTTTGAATCAAACAGATTACTGTACTTATGCCCTAAACAACATGGATTGTGAAAGATAAGCCTTATTTTTAAGAATAACAGTGTCTCTACACATACTCCCTTACATGGTTAAATTTGAATAAATGGAGAATGCTAAGAAAAAACAGTAATATATTGGTATTCAAATCCAATGAAAATTATTTTATATGAAACATTACAATTTCAATTTTCAAGGTATTTTAATCTTTAATTTATATAATAAAATGGGTGGTGTAGCAAATAACTAGGCTCATCTAACAAGTGTTACCTTTTTGGACCAGGACATTATTTTTTGTGTACCATATAAAATATCTGTAACAGACAATACATATTATCAACAATGTCTATGTTGATAAAAATTGTTTCCAAATATTATATCAACTATTGTGCTATGGAATTATTGCAACTAAAGACTCAAAAACTACTAAACTAATTGCAATTTAAAAGCTTATGTTACAATGCTTAAATTGAAAAACATTCTGCTTTTAATGTTTAAATTGAAAGACACTCAATGGATAATTAGTTCTGATTACCTATAATTAAGATTATCTACGTTTTACTCTCACTCAAACAACAAACAATTTATACTTATATCTAAGATATGAAAAATTATATAAGTTAAAGTTAAAAGATAGAAGTTAATTCTGCATGAGCATTAATTGTATTGTGATAATTGCTAATACTATGCTACTCTATTCCTAGGTATTATTGGAAATGCTGTATGTTGATTTTCTAAAAAAAAATAAAAACAAGATATATGCATTGCTATCAGTATGCAAACAATTGAAATAACTGAGATGCACAAAGTTAACTAATGGTCCTATGCTAATGAAGGGACAGGCATGGCATCTGAACCTACTGTTGAGTATATTAAAATGTACTATGCTGCACACTATATTAGCAGTCCTTCTCATTGAAGACAGTGCATAGAAAGGAAGTTCCTTTCTTCTTCTGGTCAGCTGTCCTTAATTCTCTTCTATTGACAGACTATCCAATAATAGGTTCTTCTTGTCCTAGCATATGACCTGTGATAATAATATCTATTTTTCTTTTCATTATCTAATTAATTATACTTCCTTGGAACAGTGATTATTTAGAATATGGCACCAAATAGTCTGTAGAATATTGAATGGATTGAACAAACATCTATGTATGAACAAATGCTTCTCCCCTCTTTCAGGTATGCCTGTTGGCATTCTAGACTGTACCAGAACAATCATATCTACATAACACCAGCACACCATCATTTCTTTTATTTCAGCATTTTCAATTTTCCACAAGTGAAAAAATTACATTTCTCTTTGAAATAACTATGGAAAGTATAGCTACCATTCCACCAAAACAATGTCTCACCTTCTAAATCTTCTTTCTCAAAATGTGTTTTGAGTATAGAGCGTGTTCCACCTCTATCCACAACTGCTTCTTCATCATTTCTCTGTAGAGCAAGGAAAATTAAAATAAATATATATATATATATATATATATATATATCCATATTATCTTAATTTCAAAATGGAAGCCATAATATGACCTACTGTTTAGATATGTACTCTGAGGCATTACCAACTGTTGGTTTAAAAGAGAAGCTAAAATAAATTTGGTCATATATTCAGAGTAGTACATTATTTGACTTAACATTGACAATACTCATACATTCCTGTTGGCATCATTTGTTAGTGAGATGAAAACCAGGAAACAACTCTTGTCAATTTAATAAGTCATATTTACCTCTGATAAAGATCACATTTTTAACTATATAAGGGAAATATGAAAATCATTAGTATTGACACCACAAATGTTATGGCTGGGTGAAATAATTCAGCTTCCATTAAAAACCAATCTAGTCCCTTTAAAGCAATTAGTAAGCAATTATTAGATAATGAAAACTCTAATTACTTTGCTTCAGTGAGAAGCATCTTATTGAACAAGATTATAAATTATTATCACATGCATTAAATCTTCATTTAGTTTCCATATATATTTTCCAGTTTAGAATGCCTGGACAGATACTAAGCATATAAATATTGTACACATGCCCAAACATACTAAAAAATTTGGAAATAAGCAAAGTAAGGGGAAAATAATATTATAGATTTGACCACACAGAATATAAAAGAGTATAAAATACTAAATAAAGTGAAACTATTTCCATCTTTTATCTGATCATGATATATGTAAAACTTGATTTTAAAATGGACACTGAACATAATAGGGAAAACATTCAAAGGAAAAAACTTCTGTGATCTATTTCCTTCTTTTATTTTGAAACATGGGAGATCATTTTTATTCAAACCACCACATTCAGCAAATCCAAATCAGTAAATATGAATGCTCATTTTTTCCCCTTTGAGTCTGTGTCTTGGAATTCACTATGTAGATAGGCTGACCCTGTACTTAGATCTATGTCTATATATATATATATATATATATATATATATATATATATTAATTAAAATAAGATTTAAAATTTAATATATATATTAAAAAAATTTTAATTCTTATTTTACATACCAGTCCCAATTCCCTCTCCCTCCCATGCCTCTCACTAGCCCCCATCTCTGCTCCCATCCACTCTCCAGGGAGGGTGAGGCCCTCCATCGGGAAGCATCAAAGTCTGTCACATCATTTGGGGCAGGACCTAGGCCCTCCCTTGCATCTCTAGGCTGAGAGAGTATCCCTCCATGGGGAATGAGCTCCCCAAGTCCATTTGTGCATTAGGGATAAATACTGGCTCCACTGCCAGAGGCCCAGTATACTGCCCAGGCCTGACACCCATGTTAAGGGGGCGTGACTTGGTCCTATGCTGGGTCCCCAGCTGTCAGACTGAGGTCCCTGAACTTCCACTTGCTCAAGTCAGCTGTTTCTGTGAGTTTCTCCAGTATGGTCTTGACCCCTTTGCTTATCACACCTCCCTCTCTACAACTGGATTCCAGGAGTTCAGCTCAGTGTTTAGCTGTGGATTTCTGCTTCTGTTTCCATCAGTTTCTAGATGAAGGTTCTAGGATGGCACATAAGGTAGTCATCATTCTCATTTTAAAGGAAGGGCATTTAAGGTAGCCTCTCTCCTATTGCTTAGATTCTTAGTTGAGGTCATCCTTGTGGCTCCCTAGTTCTAGATTTTTCTTTAAACCTATAATGGTGGTTCAGTGGTAGAATTCTCTGAGTTCTATTTCTAAGTCAATTCTATTACATGACTATTTAAGATGAAAAAAATATTTAAACAAGCAAAGAGTGCATTGTTTAAAAAAAAAAAAAAAAGACTATTGCGGTAAATAAGGATCAGGATAAACAAATAGGCCGAATAGATGTTTATTCAGGGAGAAATAACTTACAACCTAGACAGATGAACACCAGGAAATTCAACCCGATCCTCTCCTGTCCAAGTCACGCCAGAAAGAGAGAGCCTTTCCTGGCCCCCTCCGACCTCCTTCCACAGGTCACTTCCGCCCATGGCTCCACCCCCCAATGGGCGTGGTCAGTGCCACAGAAGGAGACAAAGTGAATATCCCACTACAAAAGACCCTTTTCCTTCTGGCCACCCAACTACTTTGAAGCATCAGATACTGATGAAAACTCCCTTTCGCTGAAAAGTCAGTCTTTGACTAAGTCCAATAATGTTGTTATTCCTGAGCTAGGATCATTAAAGGCAATGAGAACAACTGAGGCTGAGACACACATTACAGACTTTAATTACCAAACATAAGACAGTTGTGTTTAGAATAAGGACAACAAAATCATAACAGTGATAAAAAATGGTCTGATTCACAGAGATTTACAATGCTGGCTAGTTGATCAAGGTATTCTAGAAGGGAGGTAAATGGACAGTCTACTAAATTCTTATCTGATTTAATGAAGATGTTCCAATGATGGCTGCTCAGTCAGTTCCCATAACTGATTCAACTTACAAGTATGAATGTTTGAATAAGGGAGAATACAGATCTACTTGGGCAAAATTCCTCCTATACCTACCCAAACTTATAGTCTTTACTATAACAATCTCCAACAGAACATAACCTCTTTTCCAAGACAGCTAAGCACTGAAATAGGAAACAATAAAACACATGGGGATTCTGTTCCTGAACTGATGTTAATAAGAGCCAGGGCAAGGCTGGATGACTGTAAGTAATCAACAGAGTTATAGTTTAAGTCTATCTTGTGGGTCCAGTGGATTCCCGAACCCCAGAGGACTGAAAGAGATTATGAACCTGAAAGTGCTCAACATGAGAGTGATGGTTTTCTTTTCAAGTCAGTCCTTTGCATATCTGATAGCTGACAGGAAGGTGCCAATACAAAGAACTAAGATGCTTAGGCAAAAGTAAATTAGCATTTTTATTTTAGCAAGTTCCTAAAAAGAAAAAAAGGTATTGATCTAGGTACAAAGCAACTATGAAAGGACTCTATTTTCCTGAGACCTAGAGGGAGTATTGGGGAGCTGATGTATAGTGAGAGATATTTTGAGAAAGAATGGAACATCAAGTAAAGTTCCTACTGCACAGCCTTGGGGCTTAGGTGACAGAGGTTGTGTCATTTTCCAACTTAACAAAGTGAGTAACATTAAAGAAATGAGCCACAGATAAGTGTAAACAGCCAAAACACCTACATCAGATATTACATAGACCCTTTAACACTAAACACCCTTTTGTGTTTATCAGTTCTTTTTTAAGTTGGAAAGCAAAAATATTTAAATCTACTCTGAGAACGATATTGTCGTTGACATCATAAGACTTCTAAGTGGATGATCAGAGAGGTAACTACTTCTATGAACTTAATTTAAGATGGCAGAGGATCTTGAGAGAAAAGCATCAAAATCTCTATTTCCCTTTGATAAAGTATTAAAGTCAGTTAAGACCCTGTGAGAGAGACCATGGCAACATAACATACCTCTAATTAACCTTTCTGATTTGTTTACTAATTCCTTAGAAAACTAGGCACTAGATTGGTGGGGGCAGTGGGTATTGCATGATTAACTATTTTCCTACTATAAAGATGAAGAGTGATGCTAAGACAGTATAGAGACACCATTGCCAGGTACATAAAGTGGGGGAAAGTGTATTTAACACATATTATATTTTGTATCAAGTAAAATTTGACAGTTCTCATGTCCACAAGAAGGACTGAATTATTTACTTATAAAAATTCTTTCTTTTTTAAATTGAAATTAGAAGCAATCTGATTTTACATTTGTCTCTTCCTCCCATCCCCCCAGGCCCTCTGCGACAACCCCTAATTGCAGCAGATAATCTTGATAGTTGGTATCCATTTCTTACAAATGTGCTTGACCCTAAGGTAAAGGAGTATATATGTTTTTCACCTAATAAGAACAACATGCTTCACATGTACACAATCTACAATACAAGAACATGTTTTTAGCCTGATTTCATGTGTCTTTCTGACATATCCCAGGAGAGATCAGGAAAGAGTGAAATTAAAATGAAGAAATAATTTATGGGCTATTGGTATATTCTTTATTAAAATATTTAAGCTCTTGGTTTAAGCAAGAAGAAGCAATAGAAAAACTAAAGGTGCAACTTATGGAATTTTTCTGAACACAAAAAATCAGTCCATTAAGAACTATTACTGATAAATTTACAATTATTTTATTATGTGTATCAAATATATATATATATATATATATATATATATATATATCACTTAAAAATATTCCTGTTCTTTCACATGTTTTTAGGTCAAAAACTAAGTCAGGCATTCACAAAGGCCAAGAAAGCCCTATCCCACTTATTATTTTTCTATCAAACACAAATGACAAACTGGGCAGGGGACCAAACTAATGACCTCATCTATAGTAATGATTCAGCTTCTATGTCTCACAAATATACTTGACTTTCAAATATAGGATTATAGGTGTATTTTAATTAAAAGCTTCAGCTCATCATTCCAATAAATTATAATATTTCTTTATGTAAAAATGAGCCAGAAACTATATTGAAAATGAGTTTTACTTGATGTGTTTCATTTTGAGATTTTTACATACATCACTCCCTTAAATGTTCACTTGACATGCAATGAAGACATTAAATGAATGAACTTTTTGGCTGAAAATATCCAAGATACAAATTGTTATTAATTCATGCACTTAAAGTCCTCTATATTGGTTATGGTTCAAAGGATCAGTATGATTAGAGAGACCTTATGAATAAATTCTTTCCCCTTGTTATCCTGTAAAACATGAATTGTGATACAGGGAACATGAAGGGACCTACAGCTAGGCTTTGAAGCTACTTTGAAGGTACTCTCAAATGTATCACATTGAACTTAATTTTGTATTGAGCCCCTCTAGATGTTTCTGAACATCAAACACACCAATCACCATACCTTCCATAATTATTTATCCATGTGTGGTTCAATTTTAGCAGTACATATGTAAAAGAACATAAATATATAATTGTTGTCTTCAATACAATTTAAAATTTCCCA